TAGATCTACAAAAAAAGAAAACCCTTATCAGCAAAACTCAAACTTTTCTGCTACATTCACGGGCATTCTCTTTGACTTGTGCGTCTCGAGCATCAATATGGGAACCAGTTGCAGAGCAGAGACGTGCCTGTAGTAGCTCATCGATCATTCGTACGAGAAGCTTTTGCTTTTCAGGTGCCTAGTGGCCGCATGCCGTGATCCAATTATTGTACAGGCGACAGACTATCGTAAAATTCTACGTTTTTTTATTGGCTTTATCATTAGTTTTATGACTAATAATTGCGCTTATATTGTCTATAATTAAAATACTAAAAACGTCGTCTCAATTAAATTGTTATTAACAAAAAGTCAAAGCGGCAAAACAGAACAGAACAGAACACGTTGATGTCAGAGAGCTGGCTGGCTGGACCAATCGTAGTGCCAAACCGAGAGCTTCAACTATTGTATCTAGTACGAGTACGAGTATCTGTATCTGTATCTGTGTCTGTTACGTGCGGCAGCCATCAAATGCTGCTGCTGCTGTTGCTGAAAGTAAAACTTCTCGTTACTCGTACTTAGAATCGAGTCAAGTGTAATTTCCATTAACTATGTTTGTTATGGTCTTGGTGTCCGTCTGGCCTCTTAATTGGGCGCTAACGTGTTTCAGATACATTTGTATCTACAAATGACAGCCCCCAGGCCCCCCCGACGGCAATTAAACAAATCCTCGCCTTGAACTGCGTATCACGACATTTAGAACTTGACTTCGCTAAGCATCCATTTAATTTTCATATGTATATAAAGTCGAGCTCCAAATAAAACCAACTTTGATTTGATCAGCACTTCTATCTATATCTGAATCTTTATCCATGTCTGGGTCAGCTTCCTACCATTTCTCTTCCTATTGCTTTAGCCGGGAATTCGTACAATTCCCTTCAGGGATACTCAACAGCAAGTCACAGTCAACACAGTGGAACAGTGGGAGACTCTTTGCCGCTCAGTGGCTGTTGAAAGTGGCGATAAAAGCTACGATTTCCGAACAATAATTATGATTGTAAGCTAAAGTATTTCAAATAAGACACAGAGAGAGCAGAGAAGGAGATTGTCAGCATGACCCAGCACCAATCTGGGCACGGGACCTACCCCAAAATAATGTGGCATGTTTTGGTACATATACATATATGCATATATGTATATTTGGGGGTATCAGCAATGCCTTTTGGGTTTATAAGTATTGGAAGATCAAAACACTCTTAAGTAGAAATCGTAAGGCATAGAAATATTTATGAGCCTTAAAGAATCACAAAAATAAACCAAAATAAACCTCGATTGTCGTCAATCTATATTTTTCCTTTGTATTTTTCCTTTAGACATATGAAATGCCTATGATTCAGATTGTATTCGAATGAAAGTTATTTTCAAACTATTCGAATGAATTATTAAATAGAATCGAAAGATTATCTCATGAATTCACATGTCGAATTGAGTAATTTAATGGATTAAATCAAAGTTTTATAAATACCAATGATAAATAGCGACAAATATCGTAAAAGTTACCCAATAAGGACACGTGTAGAATAAACTATTTCCAAAGGATTAAATCAGTTCTCTCATACAAAAAAAAAAAATAAACAGATAAATAGATTCTGTTCGTTAATAATGGAGCTTTCGAAGAATTGAAATTGTTTGTCAATTTTTCCACATCGTATCAGTATTTTTAATAAGATTTATGATGACCTACCAATCCTTTGCTTTGATTAACCATAATCTTTATGAGGATAGAGCTCTGCTAGGTGGAAGAAATGTAGCATTAGATCTGCATACATACGTCAGAAAAGCAGCCCTAGTATCTCTTGTCAATCCTAACCCACAAATCCACAATTAAGATATTTTCTTCGGTTTCCCAAACATTTAATTTGGGACTTATCGTCGTTTGATCTTTTGGGGTGTGATTCTTTCAAGTGTCTGGTACTCATAAATCCAACTAAATTTCTCACTTTTATTTTGACAATGCTTAACTATTCGACTGTAGATCGTTGGGAGATCTCAAGTGGTACCTTTCGGCACACATGTACGTAGTTCGTAGAGATATGCATACATTGCTGATATGGTGGCTAGTATTTCCGGTTATATCAGAGTTAGAACCAGTGATTAGTTCTATAAGGCAGCTGAATAATTACAAAAATGAAATTAAGTACACACAACATTTGTCGTTGTCGTTGTCGTTGAAGTTGTTCTCCTCTCTATCGTTTCTGTTGGGTTACGAAGTGCTCATCACCTTGATCGGTGGATAGGATAGGATAGGATAGGTTAGTATAGAGCGTGTAGCTCTCCATAAAGGTATCAATAATTCCATTGTATTGAGAACAGCAATTAACAATTAATCAAAGCATTCGTCTGTGAAAATTCAACGAATTAGTTTATTATTAATTTTTGCTTCGTTTGTTTTTCCGTTGATCGACCCTCTGGCCTCTTGCTCAACTGACCCAATCATCGCTTCACAGAGGCAGAAAGGAAATTGCAAAAAGATTTTGGGTTAGAGATAGAGATGGTTCTTCTATCTGTTGACTGGTAATCACGACACACTTCGAAAAAATGCTGGAATAAACAGGAACATATAATTTAATGTTCATAATCTGGAACTGTACCACCTAAACCAGCAAATGGAAACCCACTTTATAATCGCATACTCGCACAATTCTTGCAAAATAAAAGCAAATTATATAAGTAGTAAAAGTTGGATTGAACGAAGCTTGGAGTACCCTTGAAAAACACCATAAAACATCCCTTTGAATGCACTAGGACTTGTTCTTTCCATACTCTATGGAATAGGCTTTGAATACGCTAAAGAACATCCTTGGAATAGCTTAAGAATTGTAATTAAATTCTAAGTACTACGACAAATATTTAATACACAATTTTACTGATGACAATGTGCATCCCTTACCATACACCAAACTAAGAGCATCCAAAATAAAAGGACAATCGTAGGGATAGCTTATTGAAAAGACATCTATGCAGAAAATAAGATGAACAGAAAATCGATTCTTGTGCTGAAATTCACTGGGTAAAATGTTCTGCTGCTAAAATCCTTTAATCTCTGCCTTGGTCAACACTCTGCATAATCCAGTGGTACCCTCTATAAGGGTATACTCGTTAAATCTAACATTCTACAACGCAAATTGCCCAATTCTGTTGTTTTTTTTTTTCTGTTTGCTGGTTTGTGGCTCTTTCTTCTTTGCTGTTGATGGAAGGAATAGGAATCTTATCGTCTCTCGGATGCACAACAATGGCACACAAGGGAATCATAATCGTTGATAAGCATTGCAATAAAGTTGTTTTTATTGTTCGCGGGGATCTGATAAAGGCACCTCTCTGATAAACACACAAAAATGGTCTCCGCAATCAAATGAAAGGCTTGCGCATGCATAATACTCTCACTTATCTGATGTGTCAGATAGATAGATAGATAGAGCCACACATCGGGAGGATGAGCCAGAGGATTGCATTCAAACGGATGTTGAGATGGGAGGATCTGCGCATATTGGGTATCGCCTGATTTTGGCTACAAATTGTTTTCCATGTTGTCATGGACGAAATTAAATGTATCTTATCAGAGAGCCATTCAAATCAGAAACGATTACAAAACATTGCCCACTCCCGACTTGCGGATACCCTCCCAGAATTTACTTAATATTCCGAGTGGCATCGATTAGATCCTAAAAGAACTTCACTTAATTTTCTGTGGCCCTTGAAACAGTAGCAAATTATGAGATTCCCACATGGGCACGGTTTTTATATACCCCACTTGGGGGGAGTTTTTATGAACCAGAAACACTTTTCACCATGACTCGGCGGAAGTTTAAAGTGGTGCCTAGTTGGGAATCCTAATTAATCTTAGCCATGATATGTTTTTCGTTAATACATATTATCTACTGCATACAAACATTTTCCTGTCAACTTTCTCTCACCTCCGGAATTTGGGGTTTGGAGTGCCAAAATGTTTGAGGATTTCAATAGATTTTAAATCAAATTCGTTCGAGCAGATACGAGTATTTATATATGTTTAAAGAAATGGATTGGAACAGGAATATTCGGCCTTTACACATTCTATACCCTACTGCAGACATTTGGGGATTTATAAAAGGCATCAAATAATTCCGCTAAGCAAATCCTTGAGGCTGCAATCTTTACTAAAAATTAATAAGTGGAAAATATATCCACCCACCCAATTCCCCGACTTGTACGTATTTGTACGATTCTACAAACAAAATCTTATCCGTGGAAACATTCGACAGTTCTCTCCCAACCATACCCCCTCATTGAATTGGAATTCCTCACCAGTTTCGCACCACCTGACACCCACACTCACCCATCATGTGCAGGAGGTTCTCCTCCAGGAGGAAGGCATCGTCGTAGCTGGAATTGGTCAGATTCTCCGTTTTCATGTTCAGTAAACTGGGCAACATTGAGGCATACATTTAGGTGGCGTTAATCTTTTCGTTTCTCTGGGCTTTCAGAATAGATTGCAGTACAACCAACCGATTAGGGGATTGAGAAGCGTTTTGGGGCGACAAAAGAGGTAAATATTTGAAAGTCCTTCACACTCTTTTGCAAATTGATTTTTTTCACAAATTTAGTTTGTTGCTGTTGCTGTTGTTGTTGTTGTTGTTGCTGCGGCTCTTTGGTGTTTTGCTGGTGCACATTTTTTTTTAATATTTTTTTTTTTTGTGATAATTTTTCGTAGTTGTTGGGTTTATTTTTACGCGGTGTTTGGTGTTTTTGCTGTCGCCTTTTTTTTGCAGCTAAGGTGAGGGGCCATAGACACACTTAAGTAAAGTTAAATATTTGCAAAAATTAAAACCGAAAAAATAGCTGAAGCGATGAGAAAGTTTAAGGAGAATTTAAGACCGCAGCACAATACACTGGTAGGGAAACACCGACGGCAATTGCTTCGCTACGATACGATACGATACGATATTTACATATGTGCAGACGGAGGAGTGTGGACGGCAGGCAGGCAGGCCGGGCGGCGGTGCATAAATAAATAATGCAAAAAACGATCGACGATAAAAATGTTGGCAATGGCAAAACAGAAAAAGGAATATCACAGTCCTTTCGTCTAGGTGTTCACTCCTTCCTTCTCTCTATATTGTATATTTTTGTAAGCCTCGAAATCTACCGGCGTTTCTCAGTGGAGCAGGAGGTGGAGGTGCCTCTGCGGGCTGTATGTATTATTACCGCCTAGTGCAAAACACTGACTAAACCTCAAATAATGTTCTCAACACGTACTAACTGTCTTAATATTATTTGTTGTAGATATAGAAGCCGACGCCAGCGACACTGACACCGACACCGACACCAACACCGACCCATCGACGAAGCCAGCGGCGACAACGAAAGCTCCAGAGAGACGACGGACGAGGAGACGATCAACAGGGCGGGGGAGGGGTAATGCTCGGCGGTGTCGCTCACTCGGTCGAGTCGCTCTGCGGGCCCGCGCCACCGATGTTCGTATAAACTTTAATAAATATTATTACTACTACTATGCCTCTGTCGCTGTCGCTGTCGCTGCTGCTGTTGCTGCTGCTGCTGCTGTTGTATTACCTGCTGCACTCGGACGCACTCGTACTCGTCGTCTTGGCAAAATATTGTTAACAGTTAACAGTTGATACAACAGTTCGGATCGGATCGGATCGGCGGTTGCTTTCGCGCCTCGGATCATTTCGGATCGCTGCTGCTGCTTCGTACCCTCCTCTTATCGGCGGAGATTAAGCGCTCCCATACGACTGCTACATAGATGTACATATACATACATACATACATACATATAATTCAAATTGTTTAATGGCCCACTAAATGTACACATACACATATAAAGCCGTATCTGTATATGTATATAGAACGCGTATATTTGTCTGTGGCTTTGTATGTTTTTGAGCTTTCATTAAAATAAATATAGTTTATATTTCTTGTTTTTCTTTTTCGACAGTTTTCAAAGATTGCAAAGAGTTGAAGCACTTCAGCAATAGGAAATCTCAAACATAATCGGGGATTATCGGAAGGGGTGAGGCGTGGAGACAAAATGAAGAGAGAATTAAGGGAGCATTTAATGAGAAATAAATACATAATTAAGTGGAGATACACTCTCTGTAGATATGGCATGAAGTGATGTTGTACATCAACTCAATTTCAGAAGCAGAAACACAGGAAACTGTTCGGAAATTCTATACTATATATTGGTTTTTTTTTTTTTTTTTATCAAAATTATATGACTATTCTTTGGGATAGTATAGAATATTATTTGGGATTAGTAATAAAAATAGTAGTCAAAAATTCAAAAATTCCATGCCATTAAATTTAGAATATTTATTCCTTTTCTTATTGAATCCCTTTTAGAGATTATTTTTTGCTTGTAAAACTCTCTCGTTCTCTCAGCTGTGAATAAACGCTTAGCTATCCATAACTGGTGTAGTCATCCCTTTGGATTTCCTTCTCCTGGAAATCCATTTTCCACGAGCACTTGCTTCTCGCGGTCTCCTAGAAAAGCATTTTTCCTACGTATTTCTACGTATTTGTAGATCACTTCACTTTCAGCTTGACACACACAACAGTCGGGTGGCTCTCCGTCTGGTATCTGCTGCTCCGTATAGCCAGGCCAGGGCGCTGCTTATCAAAACCGGAGCTGCAGCCTCGCCGCCACAGACAGCGTTAGACAGAGACAGGGACAGAGACAGGGACTGAGACAGGGACTGAGACTGAGACAGAGACAAGGGACATGAGACAGGCAGCGAAAGAGAAAGATAGATAGATGCCAGTAGAAACAGCGGAGCAGCCACTTGTCGTATAATAGGTCGCTGTTGATATTATTGTTGATATATATACATATATACATACATATATAATATGCAGTATCTTTGGTTGTGTCGATTAGTAAGCAAGCGCCTTAAGCTGGGGCAGGCTAAGCCGTTCAAGGCACCCCGCTCTTATCAGCAGTCGAGCAGAGAATTGTGTTGCATGTAACGGAACGCGGATCTCCAGAGAATTCCCCCATATATGTATGTAGATCGGATAGATGAATAGGCTGCCCGAAAGCTCTTTAAGTGCATTGTTTTGGTTTTGAATCTGATTCAATTGAATATAATTTTTCGTTCCCTCTCTCTCTCTCTCTCTCTCTCTCTGTCTGTGACATTATTGCCATCTCTTTTGCATGCACAATCGCAGATTCTCTGCCATTCCACTGTACTCGTACTCGTACTCGTACTTTATACGGCGGAATTTCTGTGACGAAACAGAGCTCCACCCCATCCACACCAGTAGCCGCCTGTGCACACTCGTTCGTTCGCATTTCGAATGCCCGCCGATTGGCGTCATTGTCAACATGCACCATCATCATTATCGTCATCATCATCATCGTCATCATCGCCATCGTCATCGTCATCATTGCGGAAACGTGATGGAATTATGGGGGCATGGTAGTGTGAGATTCTTACACCACACGGCACCTGCACTACACACGGAATAACCCTTTAGCGGATCAATTTAAAGGCAAAAGAATTTGAAGCACAGAAACATTAATGATCCTCTGACAGAGTGTGAATCGTACTTAGCTGACTTTTAAGCAGATTTCTCTTGCAGTTTCCCCTACAATTGAATCTCTCCAAAGACTCCAACGATAAAATATTGTATATCTCTACTTCTCCCACTTACTTCACTTTGCAGGTTACCTCCAATTAAAGGATCACTCTGAACTTAAGTCAAGAAATATGTAATATTTAATGATCTCTTAAATGATCTTTTTTAGAATTTAACTCTGGCACATTCCAAGCAAACCTGTGGTGGCTTTTTCTCACAGTTTCCTCTTACAGAGTTCTTCAGAGTGTTTTCTTTTATTTCTCATTGAGATCAATCTTTCTTATATATATGTATATCTCTCTCTCATCTGCACTCCGCATTTCTCTCACACTCTCTGGTGTCGTGATTCTTTCGCATGGCCTCTGTTCTGCCAGAATGCAAAACATCAGCCAGATGACAATTATCCCAACCCCCTTTCCATATGGGGCGGTTGAGTGATTGCATTAATTGCACTTACAAAATGTTTCGCCCCCAGATACATATACACATACACATAAATAAACATGCATATGTACATATATCCCTTATCTGTGCTCTGCTTGTGGAGACATACGATCGTTATATGACGCATATGTTTTGGTTTGAAAGCACACCGATGATCCGCACCGATCAGAACTATCATCAATCCATTGTGCTTGCTGTGAATGAATGAATGGAATGAATCACTCATATAATAATCCGAATTTGACTCCAAATCGGAGAGGAGTATGAGGAGTGCTACTGCTACAGCTACTTTATTTATCTGAGTGATACACACGTTTCCTGCATGGGGTGTGGTGTGTAAGAAAGGAAAAACTAGCATTAAAATAAAATGCATGTCATGTTCAGGGCTGTTGATGGCTGTCGCTTTTCCCCGGCCGAAACACACACACACACACACACACACATTGTGTGTGTATGCCCCTTTGGGGGCCCCTTTCCAGATTGCCATTTCCAGAGAATTATGGAAAAATTAGCCAAGCAAAGTCAAGCCAAGCCAAACATCTCCTTCTCTCGACTGTCTCTCTGTCTCTGTGTCGCTGCCTCGTTCGTTTTCTTGGGGAATTCGTTAAGTGAATATTGTGCGAAAATTTAATATTTTATTTGCATACATTTTTATAGAGAGACAACACAGCAGGCACAGGCAGCAGCACTCTTGTGTGAGTATGGGATGCACATGTGATTTGCATGTGTTGTTCGTCATCGTTGTTCATGATCATGATCATTCATTGTTGTGCTGTGTCTTTTCTGCTGACTGTGACATGAATGCAACGCAACGATGATGATGATTACGATACGATGACGATGATGATTATGATACTCATAATGTTTGACTGCAATTTACTATTTACACTTCATTTAGCGGCGACAACTTTAAGTGAAATGTGTCCACATGGCGGCTGAGTAGTTTGCCTCGTACCGGCAGTCCCTCTACTCAGCCTCTCCAGCCTCTCTGCTGCATCCGTGAGATCTCAGTGAGATCTCCTGCGTGAAACAATAAGAAAGCATCGCAATTGAATAGTAGTAGGGCTTGCCGGCTGGCTGGCTGGCTTTGACTAATTGAAAAATTAGCTCAAGTGTGAGGATAGTCGAGCAAGTGGCTTGTGTTGTTGTGTAAGGAGCAAACCCACCCTACCCCCCCTCAGACACTTGAGACAGCAAGAAGCTTTTCCTATTGCGAAGCTTCTCTTTAAGCGCCCATTTGGGTAATACTCGTAGTACGAGTAGTACGACTTGAGTTCTAGAGTTTTACATAAGCCCAAGGAACGGCACGACACGGCAGCTGTCTGGAGTATTTTGAATAAAGTTTCAAATGCTTAAAATTATGATTTTAGTCTGCATCACATTCATAGTATAATCGTACATTAATAAATTACTTAAGGTGTGCTTTGGCGCTGTTTAATCCGTACAAATATGGGCATACAATTCAGTGAGCTATCATCAAAATATATGCAACATTTATATAAAATCAAATGGGTAAATAAATTTCTGTGTACTCATAAGGTTTATATCCATATGAAAGTATCCCCATTCTATGGCCAATAAATATCAATGGCCCCCAAAACACCAAGATGTCAACACAAAGAGTGCGATTATGGCCAGTGGTACACGTATGTGGTATCCAACGTTATCTGTAGATATGCCTTTTGGTATTGTGAAACCCTTCAAGACACATATTTCTATATAGTTTATGCACACACGGAGCTGACGCAAGGCAAGGCAAGGCCCCCCTTTTAATTATCTTTATGGAAATTAATAAATGTCTGAAGCGGCGGATATCAGTTGGAAAATACTACAATAAGAAGTAGAAAATAAACTAGAAATAGAAATAGAAAATAAATCGGAAATATGGGTTATTTCCTAAATATGTCTGCCCCGTTCATCTAGCATCTAGATATCGTGCAGTAATACTTTTTTTTAATTATAAAAAAAGCTCGAACCAAAACAAAAAAGAAAACAAAACAAAAACAAAAAACTCAATGAACCGAAAGACCCGCCGCCACACACCCCACCCCGAAGAGAGCAGCCAAAGCGTAGGCAAAATGCAAATCGTTTGGAGTTCGCGTCTGGGCGATAACCTCTCCCCACCCCCCCTATACATACAATATATATATTATATCAGCCGAACCATCCGAATCTTAATCCAGGGATATACATATATATGTGTGTGTGTGTGTGGGGAGAGGCGATCGGTCTGGTCTGGTCTGTTCTGGTCTGTCTGTCTGTCCCTCAGTTGATATGGGGCCTCTGATCCGTACCGTACCGTACCGTACCCCTTCTATGCATAATGCGAGAGCCCCACAGGAGCCTCAACACCTTCGTCTGCTTGTCTTGGAAAAATCCAAATTAAATACGAAATGAGAGAACGAACGAACCCCTTTCGTCATGTCATCCAGCGACTAAGGTGACACTAGTCAGAGCTTCAGGTACTACAGCCCAGCCCAGCCCAGCCCAGCCCAGCCCAGAGGGGCCTCCCGGCCGGTGTGATCGTCGTCGTCGCTGTTGTGTCTCTATAAATATTCAACGAGTAAAAGCGTTGAGGCTGACGGACACTTGGGGGATTGGGGATTGGGGCTTGGGGCTTGGGGCTCTCGGTGCTTGTTGTGTTTGCTGTTGCGCATATTTAACCCTTGGGTTAAGTTAAACATTACGATTACGTTTTACTTCGCTTAATTTTGTGCGCGTTTTCCCCATGGTTTTCCATACACCTCACATCACATCACGGCACAGCCCAGACTCTTACTTTTACAATAATTCATGGAAGTTCTTTTGGGGGTTTCGGTTTTTGTTTCTGTTTCTGTTTCGATTGCAACTCCCTGAATAGAGCAACAGAGTGGCAGCAGCAGCAGCAGCAACAAGTTTGTTCCTAATCAATACAAAAATTATAAACATTTATAATGATTGCAGGCCGAGGCTTATCGGTATTCGAAAAGCGGCTCGGCTCTTATCAATGCCATAAGCGCTCTATTTTTTATTTTTATAATTTACCTTCTAGCCAACGAGCCACACTTTTGGCTGCCACACGTGGCACGTGTTTGCCCACAGCAAAAGGTGTGCCGCACCATCTTGCACCTTGAACAGTTGTTATTTCAGTTTATGGCAGCCTCAAAACTGATTTGAAAATCATTTCTAAATCGTAAATATAATCTGAATTGGCAGTGGAAATCATATTCGGCTGATTTTATGCGGCATGCGAATTATTCAACGACAATCAGAAATAAATTATGGAATTAATAGGGGTCAAAAAGGGTCTTTAGTTCTACAGCCTTTATATTTTATAAGAGAATATTCTTCCATATGATGAATGGCGAATGATGCTCATTCACTGTATAAATATTCCATAAACGAACGGATACAAAAAGAGACTAGGGATCAACTGAGCGTGTGGAGATCAGGAGATGATTCTGTGGTATGTATAACAGAACTTGGAGGAACCGCACAGAGATGATTTTTTTCAAATATTTTAATTGAAGCTGATAATGATATACTTCAAAGACTTGCAAAAATTAGCTCAGAAAAAAAATAAATATGAACAACATTCGGCGGGCACATTAGTGCCAGGAAATATTCGTAGTCCGTTTGGGTAAGCCCCTATAAATTATTTCAGACCAAAATTCGATACTTTGGGTACAGTCTGATGGTTTTCTCAAGATCAATTAATAGGCAATGAAAATATGACTTAAAATATACCCTTAGAAAGAAGTCAGAGTAATATTTCACTTACCAGATTCATGCAGCTCGTGCTCCATTTCCTCCACCTTGTTGATCTTCAATAGCTGCTGTCCATCGGTGACCCTCAGATCCTGTGGATGCTTCATTATATGGTTTGGGCTATGGCTATGGCTATGGTTATGGTTATGCGTGTAAGTTAGACCCAATCACATAGTCATAGAGTAATGCCCCGCAATCTGCAAGTGGAAGGAAGAAGACTGTCATATATCAATCGTTTCACCATGGCGCGGACTAAACCAACAGAACGAATCGTCTAAATTAAAGTAAACGCAAGCGAAGTATATCCGTTTGTAGATCTATAAATATTACACACATTGTAGGTGTTAAACAAGTCGAGTGCCTGACAACCAAACGCCTCACATTACAAGCCCCATTGCGGGCGGGGGTCATTGGGTTTACGATCCCATATCAGTGATATGACAGACCCACCTGCCCAGAGGCCCAGCGCACACCACACACCGAGAGCCCTCTTTATGGCCACTGTGGGCCATAAACCAAAGCCAGCTACAGTTCCCTCTGCAGACATTACGTGTGGTGTACACTGTACAGACTGCCAAACAGCAAAAAATACCCCCTAATCATAATCTTCAGTGGTTTATTGAGTGGCGGAGTCGCAGATAAAATACTCACATAGCGCTACGATAAGTTCTGCAAAAAAAAAAATGTTCTACTCAGAAATACGCATAGGTAAAAATTCGCTCTTCTCTCGCTCGATAATGTTGCTGATTATCAGGCATTTATTGTTTCATTTGGCGCTTTCGCTCTCGAGTGGCAGAACAGCCGATAAGCCTCCCAGAGCCGTCTCTCTATGTCTCTCTCTCTCTCTCTCTCGCCCCATGCCGCTCTTATCATGCCACTGGCGCTGACGCAGAGACCAGACCCCCCTCGTACGCCTGGTTGTCACCTTTGAACGCTCGTGACTGTCGCGAGCCGATCCATGGGGAGCCACAGAGGGCCCACAGCGTCGGTCGGCTGTTATTTGATGCAAAATTGTAGATTATTTATCACTTTCACTGTCGTCCGTGTGGATGTTGCAGATAAGCTGGGGCACGGCTGGGCCTGGGGGTGGATGAGATGGGTATGGCCAATTATCCAGTAATCTGCAATGTTCGCATCGTTTTTTATTTACATTACTCTTGGGGATTACGGGGACTTCAGTTGATAGATAGTCTCGTTCTACTCTTAAGAACTGTTGATATGTTGATAAAATTCCACGTATAGAATAGGCAAAAAAGGGACAAGTGTAACGGACAGCTCAAAAAAGGGTAACATACGGGAAGAGTATAAAACAGGCAGCAGAAAAAGATTCACTGACATTAATCTCACTTATCATTACATTACCTTTAAGCAAAAACACCTTGCCACCTTCAAAATCTCATATTTAATATCAAAAATTCTCACAGTTCCCCTTGGGATTAAACTTCAACTGTGACTTCAGTCGAAACATTCCAGCACACTCATTACAATACACAACATCTTCGGTTACAGTTCTAATTTTGTTTTGCAGGGAATACAAAAAATTCTCCTCTAGAATATTTTATATAAATACAAAAATTCGAAATCCAAAGATCTGGCAATGTGTTCACGGGATCCGGCCTCGAATCAGTTGATCGACTACAAGACCAATGATTCGGAGGTGCAGAAGGAGTGCACCACAGCCAGCGGTACGCCGGTGGGTGTGAAGGATGCCATCATGACGGTGGGGCCGCGGGGACCCGCACTGCTGCAGGACTTTGTCTACCTGGACGAGGTGATGCACTTTGACACGGAGCGCATACCGGAGCGTGTGGCCTATGCGAAGGGTGCGGGCGCCTTTGGCTACTTCGAGTGCACCCACGACATCACCCGGTTCTGTGCGTGCTCGCTGTTCGAGAAGGTCAGGAAGCGCACAGCCATAGCCATGCGGTTCTCGGTGGCCTGCGGAGAGAGCGGCTCGGCGGACACCGTTCGGGAGCAGCGTGGCTTCGCCGTCAAGTTCTACACGGACGACGGCATCTGGGACATTGTGGGCTGCAACATGCCCGTCTATTACGTGCGCGATCCTTCGCTCTTTCCCAGCCTGATCCACGCCCAGAAGCGGAATCCACAGACCCATCTCCGGGACGCCGACATGTTCTGGGACTTCATGACGCTCCGTCCCGAGACGCTGCACGCCCTGCTGATGTACTTCAGCGATCGGGGCACACCCGATGGCTACCGCCATATGCACGGCTATGGGGCTCACACCTATCGCATGGTGAACCCGAACGGAGAGACCTTCTACGTGAAGTTCCACTTCAAGACGGATCAGGGCATCAAGAACCTGGACGGACGCCGCTGCTCCGAGCTGATGGCCCACGATCCGGACTACTCCATCCGGGATCTGTACAACTCGATCAAGAAGGGCAACTATCCCAGCTGGACCATGTACATCCAGGTAATGCTCAACGAGGAGGCCAAGAAGAGCCGCTTCAATCCCTTCGACGTGACCAAGGTGTGGCCCCAGAAGGACTTCCCCCTGCTGCCGGTGGGCAAGCTCGTGCTCGACCGCAATCCCACCAATTACTTCACGGAGGTCGAACAGCTGGCCTTCAGTCCGGCCCACATGATTCCTGGCATCGAACCCTCGCCGGACAAGATGCTGCAGGGGCGTCTCTTCGCCTACGGCGACACCCAGCGCCATCGTTTGGGCGTCAACTACATGCAGATTCCCGTCAACTGTCCGTATCGTGTGCACGTGAAGAACTTCCAGCGGGACGGGTGCATGACGGTCACCGACAACCAGGACGGCGCCCCCAATTACTTCCCCAACTCGTTCTGCGGCCCCAAGGAGAGCTCCCGGGCTCTGGCCCTGCAGACCTGCTGCCCCATTTCGGGCGATGTCTACCGCTACATGAGCGGCGACACTGAGGATAACTTCAGTCAGGTCACAGACTTCTGGACGTACACCCTGGACAACTGCGGCCGGAAGCGGCTCATCCGTAACCTGTCGGAGCATCTGTGCGAGGCCAGCCAGTTCCTGCAGGAGCGTGCCGTCAAGCTCTTCACGATGGTCCACTCGGACTTTGGTCGCCTGATGACCGAGGCCCTGAACACGGCCAGGATCTCAAAGTTCTAACTGCTGTTTCATACATCTATATCCACATATATCCAATAAATGTTTATTGCCACAGAATTTGTGGCTCCTTTTTCCTTCTTTTGGAGTAATCCTTCAAGCTGTTTCCATTGCATACTTTTGGGCCTGGCTGAAAGGCCTGGAAAAACCTTGCTTGGAATGTTGGCTGGAATGTTTATGCATAGGGGAATGGAATATAGTAATATCTCTGTCTCTCTTATCTGGTTACCCAACAAATCTGATCTGCTTGCAGTGCTTATCCAACCCGAGTGATTATTTCCACCACCCACACACAACACAAACACACACACACAAACACACCCATAAGCCATAAGCCATCAGCCATCGAGATGAGATCTGTCATTAGCTTGCCGCTCTGTTTACATGCGATCCACGTGGCCCACAGGTTTCCATGGTTGAATGCCTGCACAAAGCTACTACTACTCGTACTATCTATACATCTGTCTGTGTACAGTGCGTTACAGGGATTTAATGCTCAGCTTGCAAGTCAATTGAGACGAATGGCCTTCGATCTACGAGCATATTTAATTGATTCAAATATCCAATAAATGAAAATAGGTAATTTTTTTTGTATATTTTAGTTTACTTCACTTTCTAAAAAATGTCCTTTATGTTTCAAAAAAAGTTAAAAAAATATTATCTTAGTTATATTCATTTTTTTCACTGTCCTAAGACTTTTCGCTGAAATTAACCTTCAAATTCCCTCTATTTATAAACTATAAAATATATATTTTTTCAAACTGTCGCGTGCCACATGACGTATATGACATGTTCGGATGATTGTAGCCTCCATATCTGCTCCCTACACCCACACGTAACCCTGAACCGCACTGTAGCCCCGTATGGCTGAATGATTCTCCCCTTAGTTCGCCGCCGATTTATTTAACCAAAATGCTTATAAACGCTTGGCAAATAGGCGACAGCAAAAAAATATTTGTAAAGATTCCTCCTACTAACGGGTTAAGTGACTTGCGCTAAGAATGACAAAAACTTACTTAAAGCTCTGCTCTCCTGCTCGCTGTCACTCTCTCTCTCTCTCGCTGTGAGTCGGTCAGACAGAGTTCGTTCTAACTGGCGTTGTAGTTGTATGTAACTGTTGTTGTTTGTGTTGTTGCTGCTGCTGGCGCTGCTGCTGGGCTTTTATCAGCTTTTGTTGGCGTTGTTGTTGTTGTTGTCGGTGCGCTGCTTTTGAGCGCATGAATGAAAGCGAAACAGACGTGAGAGACCAGACCCAGACGCACACTTGTTGATTTCTTTATATGATTCGGATTCAGTTGCTCGTTATAATTAAAGTCGCTGCCGGGTATGATTTTTTTTTTGTTTTTGTTTGTATTATTATTTTTGATTTTGTTTAACTTTTATTGTTGTTGTCTGGCTTTTGGCACTCAAATTTTAATTTTTTTTTATTACACTTTTACACTGTTTGCTGTTTTGGCTACCGCTGCTGCTGTTTCAATGGATATGGCTGTGTGATATTCATCTCTGGCGCGTTAATTAAAACCCGGAGAAAGAGCAGAAGGAGGAGGATTGCACACACACACACTTGTAGGAGAGTGATTTGGTTCCAGTTGTATAACTGTATAACTGGGGCCGCACTGCATATTCATTTATATCAATCAAACGGCGAAAATATGTACTTTAATATTTGTTGTGTTTTTCTGTCCTCTGCGCCGCCGTCTTCGAACGTCACTTGACTCAACTACGGCTTCGGTGAGGGTCCGTTATAAAAGCGACCAGCGACAAACGGGCAGAGAGTCGGTCGGTCGCCTTTCCTCTCCTCTCACTTATCACTCTCTTGCTTTGCTGGCGCGCTCTCTGCGGTGCTCGCTCTCTCTCTCTCTCTCTCTCAGAGCAGCAAGTGTAGCGCTGCTGTTGCTGCTGCCGCTGCTGCATTGAAATGTTACGTAGTTGTTTTTGCAAATTGTTTTGCAAATAAAATAACAAAATATGAATTTATTTTAATGTTTATATATAGCAATTAATGGCATCCATTAAGCATGTTTCTGTGCTCTCTCCGCTAAGGCGCTCTTTCAACTATCTTGTTGCCGTTTCTCCAGACTAGTCGCGGAATGTCATACTACTGGAATACTACAGTTGATTGAACCCGCTGACACTCTCACACACTAGCGCGCTCTCGCATTACACATTCCACACGGCGGACAGAACGACAGAGCTAGTAGTACACCCGGCGGACCCCACATTCGATTCGATTCAATTTGGTGACTGAAATCAAAGTCGCCAATTTCGGCAGAGGGGGGCTAAACAATATTAGCAACACACACTCGAGACTCACACACGCGAGAGCGCGCACTGACACGGATGGGGAACGCGTGTGTGCAGGGGGCAGAGTTGGAAAATCACATTTTATTGTTTCAACTAAAGTTTAAACGGAGCTGGTGGCAGATATAGCAACAAATACTAGTTGCGACGAGAGTGAGAGTGTGCCCTGCCATTCGCAACGATCACACTGATCGTGGGGGGAGGTGGGTGAGGGTGAGCAGCTGCCATTCACAACACAGCGCTTTCCATCAAACTTTTTGTATGCAATTCACAGCGGTTGCCAGGAGCTTTTCAGTGACAGTCGGAAAGCTTTTAAACCGCGCGAGATTTAAATTTATATTGGCACTCACATACATGATATTTAATGACTACTCTTGGTTATTTTATTAATGCCATAGTGATATACTTCTCCTTGGTATAAATCAGTTCAGTTCAGTTCATTCCTGCGTCAAGTATATGTTAGAAAAATTTGTTTATTGAGATATTTTTTGTCCAGCCAACTGGTACAGTGGGGGAGGGTCACTATCTGTATGCGTGTATCATATAGGGGGTAGGGGTATCTGGGTTTTATATGGTAATTATTACATTAATTATATTTGAATGCTCGCTAAGAATATATAAAATATATATAGTTTAGTTTAGTTTTGTTTTTACTTGCATTGTTTATGCATTAGAATTGTACATGTTTTGTGTGTGGATATTTACAGTTAAGGTTTAGCACATGTACTACATGGATTTTACTCGTTAATCGTACATATATGTTAAATAAATTATAATAAATTATCATATATGGAGGGGGGGTTGTGAGGCCGAAAGAGACCGAAGAAGCCAAGCCGCCTCCATAGGGTTATGAAATGCGCTCTCTGGGCGACGACATTTTAGTGGTTTTACACTTATAAAATTAATATTAAATTATTACGTATTACGCATAGAATTAACTATAAAGAGATGTATAGCGGGGGCGGGGGATAGATCTCAGAATACGATTATAAACCATTTAGATTAGTGGTAGGAGGCATGGGGTATGGGGGCCATGGTCACGGGCGTAGAAAACAATATATAGGATTGCACTAGGATTTTAGGATTTATAGAAAGATTTAGTTTAGACATAAGCTTAAAATTGTCACGTGCTGGAACTTGAATACAGGTACGAAATTAGCAACGATCGCGATTGTTGTACGCCTGCACCTTGGCCACGGTGCAGTCGAGGGCCGCCCGTATATCATTGAACACGGGCACACCCTGCCGCTTGGCCAAATCGATGAGGTACGACCGTCCGCGATTGTAGTCCTTGATGGCGGCCACAGTTAGCTGCAAGACAAAACAAAACCCAATTGATTAGCAATCCAAATTCATATGCAATTCTATCCCCTAACTTACCTTTTCGCCACCGAGCACACAATCCTCGGGCAGCATTTGTACCGCCAGCACCACATTGTACATGAGGCCAATGCAGTGGGCGGCCAGTGTCATGGGGGCCAGGGAACGCGTCTCATTGGTGATCACAAAGAGCAGCACTCGACTGGAGTCCAGCAGCGAGGGATTGTACAGGCTCTGGCGCACAGCCACCGGCGGCAGTGACCAGCTGAGCGACTCCTCGGCCACCGTCAGCTCTTCCTGCTCCTCCAGCTGCAGCTGATTGCCGCGGCACTTTCGTCGCGTGCGCACAAACGAGCGCTGCTGTTGCTCGTGCTGTCCTGGCTGCTGATGCTGCTGTTGCGCCTGATGCTGCGGCTGCGGCTGCGGCTGGGCTGCAGCTGTATGCTCTCGTGCAGGGCCGGGCTGTGGAAGCTGACGTTCTTCGACTGCAGGTAGGGAACGGCCAGTTCCTGACGCCACTTGGTGCGCATCACACAGCTGCCGCCCAGATAGACATCACGCAGATCGAGTCCGCCACAGCAGAGGGCATCCCCGGCACTGGCAATGGAGCTGCTGCTCGAGAAGACCGAATCGTTGGAGTCACTCTCCTCCTCCTCAGTGGCCACGGACGCCACAGACGCTGGGTGCGTGCCGCCTGGCTTGGTTTCTATCGTTTTGGTGGTGATTATTTCGGTTGTTTCAATGGACTCGACGTTCAGCAAGATCTGTGGCTTGGGGCTTTTACCTAGACTGCTCGCGGCGGCTGGCTGCGGCGAGGAGGTGCCACTGTCCCGGCTGCGACTCAGCTGCTCGAACAGGCTCTGGCGCTCCAGATCGTGGCCAATGCCGCTGCTGCTGTTGGACGGTACACTGGCGTTGCTCGAGGTGCGCGAGATGTTCTTGCTGGCCGAATAATAAATGTCCACATCAGGTGCTGAATGAATGAATGAAAAGAGGAATTAGTCAGATGTCCGAGGTCTGTATAGCGGGCGGCCTACCATTGGTAAAGTAAACCTGAGGCGGTGGCACATTGGTGCCCTTGATGGGCGAGATGCAGCCACTCTCGTGTATCTCCTGCTGCAGGACGGACAGGTAGGCCGAGATCACACAGAATAGATCAAAGTCGATGAGCTCCTGGTTGGCCAGTATGGGCAGATCGGCATCTTCATTTGGTTCCTTGACCTTTGAGCTGTGCGTTTGCAGGAATTTCAGCGATTCGCGCTGATTAATTATGATCTTGGTTAGATTATCTAAATTAACTAAACTCTGAGCATAGCCTAAGAATAAGAGAGCACGTTTGCACTGTTCCACGGTGAGAAGATCGCTTTGCGGATTCACGCGATCGAAGGCGCCGCGAACGGTACTGCAAAATGTAAGCAAAATAAAATAAATATAAGTAAGAGAAATTTATATTTAAAATGTAAGTTAAACTCACTCTAAAATGGAAGATATCTTGGACGGTGGATCCCTGATGCCCGACAGTATTTCCTTGGTGCGCTGCAAGCCCGAGGGTATATTCTCCAGTACTGGCAGACCGCGACGGGAGACCAGCTCCTTAAGTATCATCTGATTGCGGGTCAGATCGAGGTATTCTCTGTGACAAAAAAAAAACAGTGGGCATAAATTAGTTTTAGTTGAGGCAATGCGCTACGAATGCGTTTTAGGAGCTTTTGGAAATAAATAAACATGATTTTTGGTAGGAATAAAATCATTAAATAAATCTATGATAAATATCAGCAATTCCTATAGCTCTTAAATTCATAAATCTTTCATTGAGACTGCTTTACGTACTGCTGTGAAATAGGCTCATTCAGTATCTTCTGATTTGGTTTATACGGATGCAAAACCAACACCAGCTGCTTGCAGTTTTGACCCGCTATGTGTGCCGCCTCGATGGCACCAGCAGATGCGCGTGTTTCCGAATCCATCACAAAGAATAATACACGGGCCTTTTCCTTAGCTCGATGCTCGAGCTCGATGAGATCGGGCGTCCAATCGGATACTTGCTAAAAAAAAAAAGAACCAATCTAAAATAAGTAATTGTTTTTCTGGATTATTTGTGCGTGTGTTTGTGACCTACAGGATTATAGAATGAAATGCCCAGCTCTTTCAAGGCTGGTATGGCAACGTCTGCTCGCCACGTTGTGGGATTGCAGGAGCCCCCCAGGAACACCTCGACGGGCTCATTGCTGGCGTTCTTTTTCTTTTTGGTATCATCGACACTGCTGAAGGATTTGGTGCTGCGCAGTTCGGTGCCATGATTGTCCAGCTTCTTGCCATTGCTATGGCTGTAGGCGGCGGGTGAGGCGGCAGTCGATGGTGCATCATCCAGCAGCTGCTGCTGCTGCTGCTGTTGTTGCTGCTGCAGCAGAGAGCTTGTGCCCGCTGACAGTTGCTGATATTCGCAGTAGTTTGATGTCTGATTCGAAATCGTTGAAGCACTGCCGACAAAAATGCACACAAAAATTAGTTAAATCGAAAGGCTCATCATAATAAAAAAGAAAAACTCACCGAAAACGCTTCAGATCTGCAGCCAGTACACAAAATTGTCCAAATGTCAGACCATTGGGCTGTCCACTGCCCCCCTTGCGGGCCACCTTCTTGGCCGTTTGCAGCATTTCGCTAACTGTAAAGACAGAAAACAAAATCAATTAATTAGTTGCATTCGGATAATGAATGCGCAGTGTACTTACTCTGCTTTTGGCTGGGATGGAAGCTTAGCTCGTGGAAGAGCTCCTGGGTGCGCTCGTCGGGCACCACATTGCAGCGGGCCTTGGCACGCCATGCATTCAGGACTTCTCTGTAAAGAATAACAAAAAGAAGGAGGAGAAATATTAATAATAATAATAATAATAATATAAATGGTAAACTCATTAAAATTAATAAAAATAGATAAGTGCCTCTAAATCGTTTGCCATGCAAGTAAATCATTTATGGCAGCAATTTATTGAACAATTCTGGCCAAGATTCTATAAATTCGATCGTGGAGCAATTTTCAGCATCATCCAATCATTCATTATAGTGCTGACGCGCTTTTCCACATTTGCTAAAATTATTTAATGCTAAAAAAAATGCCCAAATAAATCAATTCGGGAAACTGTTTTGCTGGTGCTCCTTATAAGCGAACAATGAATGAACTCCCTCAAGGACAGCCAGAGCCGACAGCCAGAGCCGACAGCCTACAGTCCGATTCCTACTATAAGTGGCAATGTATAATGCCACAATCTGTATGCCAGTCACGTTCCCAGTGGCGACACATCGAAACATGTGCCACCCAATCGAGTACGCGCGCCATAAATAGGGAAACCAACAACAACAAAAAGTCTATATGAAATATTACGAGATTTTTGTGGCAGCTTCGTCTGCCTCTTCTTCCGTGTGTTGGCAAGACATCGTCATCACCAGAAGCATCAACAGCAGCAGCATCAACAACAGCGGGGGCACTGACAATTGCATCATTTGAGCAAAATGGAAATTTAAATATCGCGTATACGTAGCGTATGCCACAAAGAGCTGGCAATCGGAGACGCGGGTGTATAAATGGGTTTATTATTTATCGTATATAGCCATATTTCTCTGCGACGCAGTTACTTGATTTCCATTTCATTTTGAAATTGTTTCACTTTGTTTTTGTTTCTCTGTTTTGTTATTTTATGTTTGAAATATTTATAACACAATTTTGGCGCTATATATGTAGCTATATATTGCTCATATCTGCATCTTTTTTGCGATGTTGTTTTGGACAAAAGTTTTGTAATTGATTGCGCAAATCATTTGTAAATGATTCTGTTTTTCCGTCGGCCCTGTTTTATTCCAATTGAGTGGAGAATCGCGACTGAAATACAATTATATACTTATTTCCTGCTGAGAAACCGTTTTACATTCTCCCTGTGCTGTGCTACCGGGTGGGCTTATCAATGCCTAGAGAGCGCTCACAGCAGCGGCCAATGCCAAGAGGAAGAGCCGAGCTTTCAGTGGCGAATGGGAATGGGAATGGAAATGACGTCAAGTCCAAGTCCAGTGACAAATCAAAGTCAGAAAACAAATCAAAATTGAAATATGTTTCTTTCAATGGCATAACACAAAAACAATTTATGGAAAGAGAGAATTAATACAGGTTTTCCCAACAGTTTGCAACGTGGAAATTTTCTTATTGAATCGATTACCAAAAGTCAATCCCCAGACCAAAATGTTGCACTGCGAATCATAAGATAAATCCTTTCTCGATCCTTTCTTAGTGCCAACCTGAATTCAGAAACAAATCCTATGTGAATCATAGATCATTTTTACATTATCCATAGCTCAAATACTTTTAAGTTTAGAATTTTTCCATCTCTACCAAAACGTAGAAACAACCAAAGAATGAAATCTACAGCTAGAGAGACAGATCTCAAACGAGGAACAACATTTTTGGTTTTATGGCATCCAAACAAAAAATAAAAAAAAAACTTGTCTGCAGCCCACACAGCTGAAAGCACCTGAAACCCGAAACAAAAAACATAAACTATGCAACAAAAAGTTAAAAGAAACTCTTGCAACATGTTGACCAAAAGAGAGAGAAAGAGAGAGGGGGAGAGGGGGGAGAGAGAGAGAGTTAAAGCCAAATGCCAAGCGATTATGTCAGACAGAGCGAGAGACTCAAGAGCCAAAACCCAAGAGCCAAGAGCAAGTGCAGGCGGCGGTCAAACGTGTCTAGATGCCAATTACATGACTGCATCGACCTGCAAGCAGTGGCAGCAGCAGCAGCAAGCTGGTGGAGGCGACACCACCGTTTTCTGTGGCACGCCCACAGCTTCACATCATTTACTAAATTTGGCCCGGCCTCTGCCCCACTCTCTATGCTTTTTGTTTGGTTCTTCTATTTTTGGACTGATTCTTGGCTCTTGATTTCTGATGTGTGGGTGAAGTTGCGCCATAATCGTAACATTTTTCTCTCCCCTCATTTTTTTTTGTTTTGTTGCTGGTATTTTTATGGCAAACAGACCGAAGCGAAGCTGAATTTATGTTTTGTTTACAAGAACACGAAACAGAAAAAAAAGTAACCATAAGAGAGGAAGAGCATTGGCCGCCAGACGATGAACAAATTTTGGCTGTGAAAACATTTCCGGGGGGAGGAACGAAAAAGCAAGAGTGTGGGATGCGATCGGTTCGGACACAAGGAAGTGCAGCAGAATTATCACATCACAGCAGGGCACAGCATCAATGAATGCAATTAACAGACTTTTTTTTCGTAAACAATAATGAGACCTGTTTCCCAACGGAAATCATTTAAATGAAACGGAAAGTTCTTCCGTTTCCGGGGCTTCCTTCCTTAATTTGCTTTTTTATCAGCTATCGATAATTTATTTATTTATTATCGTGTAGATCGATCAATTCTGCCATAAATTTGGTATCCTAAGAGAAGTTTACTAATTTATTTTCCTATGGTTTTATATTTTTGTATCTTAGGTCTAAGAAGTGTGAGAGATATTTCATTAGCATTAGCTCTCTCTCATACTTTGAACTGTAGAGATCCAGGAAGTTTTAATGTCTATCCACCCATACATAAATTCCGTATTTTTATACCCTTGCTCATCCCTTCCAAGCCCTTTTGTATTACTGAAAGGCACTTAAAAGTACTCCAACAAAAAATAAGCTCTCAATAAAAAGCGCTTCAGGTAAAACAAAAAAAAAATCGACATGGAATTTTTTCCGATTCATTAAACAATCGAAGCATATAAAATAAACAAACAAACAAACAAAAAAATAGAGAAAACATTCCTGGACAGAGTTTTGAGCCCAAATGGATTTCGTGTCTGATTCATAATCAGAATTCATGATGAAATGGGATTCTAAGAACCTGATGACACGATGTTGTGCTACTAAAACCGCGACGACATTTAGTGGTAAACAAGTTTTGCGTTCTCGTTGTCTTCTTATGCTGTTCTGGGGGCAATGGAGCGGAATAATGCGTTAACAAAGGGAGCGTATCGGTGGGGAGGGGAGATATACCCCGTACAACCACAAGAGAGAGTGGCATGAGTAAGATAAAATGTCTGTAAAGTGTGGACTGGACTACCGGAAATACGCCGTGACCTATTAAATGCTCTGTGGGCATTGCAGATAAGACCAAGTTAACGAGCCAAGGTCCTCGCTCTTCTTGTCTCGAGTCGTTCGTTATCTGCAATCTGCTGCTGCTGCTGCTGCTTCTGGCCCTACTGCTGATAAGGCCTTAAACGTTTCTACATGAATCAAGGCAACGCAATCTATGGTCTGGCTATCTGCCAGATAATAATTGCCTATAATGCAACAAGCCAAGTGTACATTTGCTTAATATAAGCCATTTATGGACTAATAAGACTAATAAGCTTGATAAGAACTGAGAAATGGAAATTCCTGCTCATGATTAATACTAAGTACAATTATTCGTTTAATATCCATTGATCAGAATATGATTTTATCATTGTAATGAATGAATGGGATATTTGTTGGAAATTATATTATGCAGCAATGCCCCCTCGGTCGGTTTGCGTTCAACGACTTTCCATATTGTTATCTATGAGCAGTGCTATTCCCATAATACATATCGGAATAAAACGGATATGTGTTATCTGTGAAAATCCATTCATAAATATTGTATTGCATGCGCGCGATTTTATTATCCTTAATTTGGGGATTCCCTGTCATTCTAATGAATAAAGTATGTTAACTTTAATTATTATTATTATTATTTATTACCAAAGCTTTAAATGGATTATCCAGATTAATCCAAACTCGAAGTAATCAACGGATAACTTTTTTCTGGCTTTATCTGTTTTAATACATTAAAAATGTATCGTCAAATTTCCAAAATGACTTATCCGACTTTATCCGATTTGTAACTAAGCCGCGGATAAGTTTAAATCAGTGCTATTCGAATAAAAAAAAAAAATATATATATAATCATAGCTTAGCCCACGTCATTTAATTGAGACACTCGAACAATATAAATGATCACTTTTGTGTAGTGTTTTCCCATATCCGACATTATCCAGTCAGCTGATAAGCATTTCCTCAGTCCATTTTGCCGCCTTACCAGTCAATGGATAAACCACAAACGAGACACCACACCCGTAGATCAGAGTGTTAAGCAGATCAGCATTTCCGCAAGTGATGAATGAACGTCTCATCGCCACCGCATGCCGCATGCAATCATTATTTTGGCCTGGGGCCAAGCTGAATGACGTTGCTTTCGGCCAGTACAGCAAATCACACGAAAACCCATTAAAAAAAAATAAGAAGAAGCGCATAGAGGGAGAAAGATGGGGGGGGAGGGAGGAAATATGCATTTGTGCAAATGATTTCATTGACCCACGCTCTCGACTGCCTTATTAATGAGTAATAAACAATTTCCGAATACAATTGAGCAAAATGACACAAAATGTACATTGAACTCTGAGCCAGAGCAACGAGAGAGCCAGAGAGATAGATAGAGAGAGAGACAGCGAGTGAGAATGTCGCTAGTTTTAGCCACAAACAAAACAAATAATCAACATTATCATTAACACATGCGCCTAAGCATACAATTAGCATTTGCTTTTGACAGTTTGTAAAGCAAGCGTAGGGGCGATTACGGGTTCTAGTGATGAGAAAGACCACAGATCAAACTATCAGGCACTATCGATAATTATCGATCAATTTCGAAAGGGGTTTCCAAAGCGCTGAGCAGAAAAACAGTTTCCTTCAGCCTTAAAATTGTACTACTGATACAGACAAATATAGAATAAGGAAAGTTCGGATTTATGTGATAGATGGAGACCCCCGTTGCAGCTACAGCTTCAA